ACTTTATGCCCCATGTTATGTAACCTATTGAGGATTAACTCTATCAATGCATGCGTGTGTGTGTGTGTGTGTGTGTGTGTGTGTGTGTGTGTGTGTGTGTGTGTGTGTGTGTGTGTGTGTGTGTGTGTGTGTGTGTGTGTGTGTGTGTGTGACATCTAAATGGCTACTTGAGGACCAACTAAGCCATCAACAATTGCCATAACTTATTGAAAAGATACACACATTGTAAATGTAGACAAAGTGACACCCAATTGAATAAAGAATATATATTTATATTTACAAATTGATTCATAAGACTTACATATAATCTTACCTTTAAATCACATCACAAGTATTGATTGTTTTAGTGTTAGTAAAGAAGTGACATAAATATTACATTAAATGCTTTTACATTATAAATCTATTTCCTTTAAGTTAGTAAATAATAATTTATATAATTTTTTTTATTAATTAATATTACTTTCAAAGAATAATTATTTTTGGAATTCTAAAAATAATTATTACATAAAAAAGTAAGAAGTTATTTGAAAAATTTATCAAATTTATTAAAATATAATTTATAAATAAAAAAATAGTTTTTAAAAATAGTAAAAAACGAAAGTTTTGTTCAAATGTTTGAATGAAAGAACAGAAATGATATACAAGTCATGCAAAAGATGTGTTTTGATGAATGAATGGACGGTCGGCTCGAAGTGTGAGCTCTTGTATTGTATCGTAAATTTGTTGGACTGTATCCAAAGGTGCCATTGAAAGGGCACTCTTCAGATGGTTGTCTTTATATGTATATATCTGAGGACAGGCAGACATATGCCAATGACTAATGTGTTGCACATAAATGCAACTCAGTTTTTGAACAACAAAATGAATGGCTGTTATTGAATATTATAGTTGAGGCTTATATGGTTGAGCTCTTATAGCTATTATTATAAATATATACTCATTTACTTTCACTGTTTTCCTCTTTAGCCTCTCTTTGCCTACACTTTCTTCAGTTATATTTAATGTCCCAAAACGCATGACCTAAGAGTTAGGATGTATTGATCGATTCGTCGGTCAGTTTGCTTTCAGTTGCATTACTTCTCTTATGATGTGTGTCTGTGTGTGTGTGTGTGTGTGTGTGTGTGTGTGTGTGTGTGTGTGTGTGTGAGAGAGAGAGAGAGAGAGAGAGAGAGAGAGAGAGTATAAGTGTATGTGTGTGTGTGTGTCAAAACTGTTATGTAATTTTTTATTCAGAAAATATTTGTGTAAAAACTAAAAACATAAATAATGATTTGGGGGAGGGTTGGGGTTATGTATTTTTGTGTCAGTGTTGGCACTCAATCTTCAGTATTGAGCCATAAATGGCTCGCAGATGTATCACTTACACGACTACCACTTGAAAACCATTATAAACACAATAAGCTTTTAAATATACATTCAAAACTTTTTTTCAAAATGAAAGGCTATCTTATAAATGTATATACTTTTGACAGACCTTTAATTTTGTCAGTCCTACTCCAGCATCACTATTATATGTCCACACATTGTGTCTAAAAAATATAAAAGTTTTTTGTTATTTATTTTCAATAATATACAAATTATGATAAATGTATTGTAACTGTCTTTATTGCATTTTTCTTATCAATACTTTTTTGAGTTGATTTTTTCAAATTAAAATTTATTGAAAGATTTATTGAAAATATGGGTTTAAGCTTTATAAATATATAAATATATAAATATATGATTTTATAATAGAAAGTTTTGATTATATAGCAACAAATAATATATATTGATATATAGTATTGAATTACTATAATATATAAATTTTAACGATTAGATATTTAGAAATGATTACTTTTACTTAAAATAGGATATAAATAATGAAAAAGTGATTAATTGAATCATTTGTGCCAAACAGTGGCACATCTCTGCTATCATGTCTTGTCATATATAATATCACAATATATACAATATTTATGAATCAAAAGACTGTTTTTGTTTTATTTTATTTTTCTGTTTCATTTAATTACTAAAGTTTAAGACAAACGACTAGAAGGAGTGTTTAAAGTATGAAATTTGTTTGATATGTATTTATAAAACATTTGAATTGTTTAATAGGGAGAGACCAACACTTTTGTCAATTGAATTGCATTTAACTTCATTTTGAGACTGAATTTAACTTATTATACATAAATATAAAATTTATATAATTTGAGTGTTATATTTGCTGAATCAGCTGCAAATAAAACTATGTTAATTTGCATTACTTTTATTTTGCTTTTTGCATTCCCAAGCAAATTCATGTTTAGTATTTATGTATATACTGTATATGAATGTATATACCATACCATACCAGTGCTCACTCATATGCCATATGAATGGCACAAAAAGCAGTACAAGGATTAGCAGGCATTGGATGCACACAAACTCATTAAGTGTTTAATGAAGCGAATGCATAATCACATGGAATATGCAAAATAACTAAACACTACTATCTCTCACTAATATATCCCTCCCTTTCCTCCCTTTATTTTCTCTATCGTTTCCACTAATTTAAAAATTTTTGCTTAAAAACATTAAACATTATTTTTATTTGATATAAAAATTTTAGTGCAAAACTAAATAACTGAATATCATTGTTGTTATGTTTTTAAAAAAAGCAAATTTTTAGATCTATATTTTATTTTTCTAAAAATGCATCTCATATATTGTTTATAAACATATCACACATACATACACAGTGTTTATATAATATATTATATATATATAAAGTTGACACCCATAACAACATAACCAACAAAATATCAAAAATGCTTTTTACTCTTAAAAAATGATGAGATTCTTCAGTGTTTGCGCAGCGCATCCATCCTTCAAATACCGCCTCAAAAACTTATATTAAGTTATGATTATGTTTAATACAGACATTCATTTATTGAACAGCGCATACCATACCATATCATACCGCTCCTACCGATGCTCTGAGTGGTCAAAGTTATGATATGACTGCACATCAATATTATATTTATATGAAATATTATTACAAAAACAAACAATTATTTTACTCCAATATTTGATTTAATTAGTTTACATTAAAATAATATTTATATTGAAAATGATGTCTCAATGTTTATTGCAATGAGAAAATTTTTATTAAAATGTTTCAAACAAATTATTATTTAATTGTTAATATGATTTACAGGAAAGTACTATTTAAGGACATTTGATAGTACAGTAGTGTATCCTTTATATTAAAAATAACAAAATGTTATGAATAGTATACCGTAATGTTTACTATTATATAATCAATGTTATTGTGATATATATGTAACAAAAATATTTGAGGCGTAAAACATGCCTTTAATAATACAAACATTGTTTTTATATCCACTAATTTATTTGTTAGACATACAATATTTGTGCAAATTTTTCATTTTAATTGATTTTGAAAAACTAATAATCATTTATAACAACATAAACTGCATTTAACTTAAATATAACTCTTTTATATAAATATATAGTATATCACGTGCATTATGTCAGAGTATTTTAAATATAAGTTAAATTATTCAATTGAGTCAAACAAATATAATGCAAACATGTTTATTAATGAGATTTTCAGATCTAAAATATACATAAAATTAATGTTTTTATATAATCTCATATCATTTAAATATATAAATTATGTTTGAATCGTTAAAATGTAAAGGATAAATATAGTAATAAGTTTTTAGTTTTTTTTAAATTTTAAAGCATAAAATATATCTTAAAATAAACATTAACCAATATTTAGTTAAAGTAGAAAATAAATATTATTCATAATCTTGAAATTGATATTTTAGACAATTTTTATATCAATTATTATTATTAATAAATTTGGTTGAGTTTCAGTAATTTTGAATATAAATAGTTTTGTTAATGCATTAATGCTTTCATAACAAACACAATAACATTGGATAACATGAGTGCCTTTTAATTAGATTTGTTGTCAAATTCCAGACAACTATTACTGCAAACATTCAATGCCATACATACTGTATATACCAAACATATAAATGCAATGTTTATATGTACTGTTGTACTATATATATATATATTGTATATAATATATAACATATTAAATAAAATGCTGGCAAATATGATTCCCAAACAATATTATGAAAGTGATGTTAGCTATACATTCCAATCATTTCTATATTTGCCAGAGATTTTAATCCATAAATTAATTTTAGATAAAAGCATACAAAATATTTCTCTTTGTAGTTGTTTGAAAAAGGGTCACAAATGTGTTGTTGTAGTTATGAGAGATGAAATTATATGACATTAAGTTATTGGTCGGTCAAATGGATATAATATTATCAAATGGTTAAACATAAAGCAATATTAAAGCTAAATTAATTTCTTAAAATCATAAATATCACTATTTCTAAATAGATTTAATAAATAAGAATTTTTAACATAAAATTAGAATACAGTATAAATTAAAAATTTTTCATCTATGGGTCAATTTTTTATATTCCATAAATTTTTGAAATCAAGACTAAAACTTCTCCCTAAAAATACTCATCTAAGCTGAACATACCATTCCCAACACTTGACAACATTATGGTTATTGAGAAATGCTTTTAAACACTAATATAATATTATATATGAATGAATGCCAACATTAGAAAAATTTATATGTAAGCAAAGTTTGCATTCATAACATACATACATAGATAATCTTATATAATAAATATATATAACATCCATAACCTAATATACTATCACTAGATTTGAGTGCATATCAGGATGACCTCAGACTTAGCATTCAAATAACAATTCACTGGTTGTATGCACACAAATATGTCATATAGAGAGGGTGTATATACTGCAAGTGTGTATATATTTTACACTTTAGTTCAATCTGTCTGATGGATTGGTGTATAGGGAGTGGAGTGACTTCAGTGCTCCAAATCCGCACTAATAGCTCCTTTAGGTCCGATCCCGTTCATCATACTATCCAATGCCTCCCAATACCAGTGACTGGCGATACCATTGAAACGATATTTCTAATGCTATACACATATCGTAAATATAATATATCAGTTGAATATACAGTGTTTGTTGTATAACACAATTTATTACTCAATCTGCAAAATGCAATATTATTTATTCAATGTAATACTTCTCTCACATATTACTAATATATTCCGAAACTTTATTTTTCAAATTGTTATGTGTATGTATGTGTAAGTACAGTGTATGTATGTTTAAGTATATATATATATATATATATATATAGTGTGTGTGTGTGTGTGTGTGTGTGTGCGTATGTGTATGTGTAGGGTTGTAAGATGTTTACTAAAATTAAGTAAAAAATATTATCTTTTATTTTCCAATGTATTGCTATTATGTCTAATTGATTACTTAACGAATTTATATTAATTTACTTTATATTTAATTAATTAAATATATAATTAACGGAGTGCTTAATTTTGTAATTTATTAAAAATATTACAAAATATTTTTTTTAATATAAATTATATTTATATGTTTATAATATTGGTTCACTTTTTAAACAATTTAGTAATTATAAAGTATTAATAGATATACAGTATTATATATTTTAATATGCAGATATATTATCTTTATTAAAAATTAGTTTTAAGTCATAGTGATATTAAAAATATTTAAAATTTAGACATAATTTGATTTTTAATGAATAAATTATAGAATGAAATTGTAATGAATATAAAATAATGTATTAATTTTATTATTAATTTAGAGTCCAAAGCACTAGTGCTCGACAACGAGGATGAGGAGGAAATTGAGAAACCAATTGATTCACATATTTGTGAAAATTGTAAACAAGAGTTCTTAGGTTTGGCTATATTTGTATCTCATAAAAGAAATTGCGACAAAAAGACCGATAACAACGAGACGTCAGCACTACCTCAACAAGAGATGATTAAAGAAAATGAAGAGATTATTGAAGAGTTAGACGAAGATAAAGATGACGACAAAGAAGATGAAGATAATTATGATGAAGAAGATGACGAAGAAATTGGCGCTAAATTTCCACAGATTTATGACAAGATTAGCAATGATAAGGAAGAAAAGGTTTGTGAATCAGATAACGATTCCTCAGAGAATAAGGGAAAACAAATTGCTGGCAGTGATGCTGACGGTTGGCCTCTCATTGGATCATCACTTTCCTTATCAGACACTAATGTGGTCATAGAATCACTTCAAAACACGTCAGTAGCGGTGGCACAACACCCACCGCCATCACCCGATCTCATGTCTCAAGTGCCACCCAATGCACTTCAGTCTACTTTATTCAGTCTACAACAGCAACAGATGATGTTGTTTCATGTCATTCATCAGTTACAGTCACAGATCGCCAGTACTGGTGGCCCAACTCCTCAAATTCCAGTTCAACTATTAGTTCCTCCCATACAATCACAGACACCACCTGAAGTACAGACACCGGATATCGACAAATCACAACCAAAAGGCATGTTAACAGAGAAAACAAATTCTGCATCCTTTACACAATCTAATGACAACCAAACTCCTAAACCAATGACACCGGTTGTCAAAACACCACCACTTAATACATCAAGTATACCACCAAACCTATCATCGGTATCAACGGGTTTGGACATAATTAATGCAGACGATCCGGCAGATAGACCTATAAATCCTACACCACCTTTAAATGAGTCATCAGCTCCAGACTCTCCCAGTGAACCAAACACTTTAGAGTTACTTCAAAGACATACAGAACAGGCCCTACAAAATACAATGTCTGGCGGATCCTTCTTATTGAATGGAATCTCAGGAATGGGTAGCTCTGACTTCTTGAGCTTTAGAAAAACTAAAGATGGAAAGGAAGATCCAATGTATCGCCACAGATGTAAGTTTTGTGGTAAAGTTTTTGGTAGTGATTCAGCCCTACAGATACACATTCGGTCGCATACTGGGGAACGACCCTTCAAATGCAATATATGTGGCAATCGATTCACAACTAAAGGCAATTTGAAAGTCCATTTTCAGAGACATAAAGCGAAATACCCGCACATTAAGATGAACCCGCATCCCGTTCCCGAACATCTCGACAAATTCCATCCACCGATTGAACCGCCAACCGGTTCACAGTCACCACCACTTACAACACCTCCGATCTCAATGTCAGGTATTCCACAAATGTTTCCGCAATCAATGTCTTTAAATCCAACATTTGTGGACACAATCTCTCCAAATGCACCCAAAGATATGAAGGGTATTTTGAGTGGCAATTATCGCGAACGAGAACCGATGTCAGACAGCAATAGTCGGAGTCTAAGTCCCAGAGAGCAACCCATTCACGAATCCTTAGAGAATTGCGATTCAAACCACTTAGTTAGTGATGAGTCAGATATGGATGACAGAGAAGATGATAGAGATATTAATGAAGATAAAGAAATGGATGAAATTAGTGATGACGAAGAAGCTATCAATTTGGAAAAGAAGAGCAATCACATTATATCTGCTGATGATTTACCACTAAATTTGCAAAGAATTCGCAGAGATGTTACTGAAGATGAGGAACTAAATGATGACGAAGACGAAGATATAAGTGGAGATGAGTTTGATAAAGATATGGATGAGTCTGAAAGAAAAGAAATGGCTGATAAAAATAAAGAGAATATTAACTCTGAAGATGATAGATCTGATGACTCAGACGATGGCATGGCCTATCCTCCCGGTGCAGAGTTTCCTTATTTTCCTCAATTTCCTCCATATTTCCAGAGCGGGGCATTTCCAGGCATCCCAACCTCCTTGGGTTTAATTCCCTTTGGTTATCCCCCAGGAATGCCACCGATTCCTACATCCGGTCCGAATAATTCAAACCCTGAGGGCGGCGAAGGTTCAAATCCCGTCTTCTATCAAGACTTGTTACCCAAACCTGGAAGCACTGACAACACTTGGGAAACCCTAATGGAAGTACAAAAAGCGTCCGAAACCGTAAAATTGCAACAATTAGTCGATAATATTGAACACAAACTAACGGATCCCAATCAGTGTATTATTTGTCATCGAGTTCTTAGTTGTAAGAGTGCACTTCAGATGCACTACAGAACTCATACGGGAGAGCGACCCTTCAAATGCAAGATATGCGGCCGTGCCTTCACTACCAAAGGCAATCTTAAGACTCATATGGGTGTTCATCGAGTAAAACCTCCTCTTCGTATTCTTCATCAATGCCCAGTCTGTCACAAACAGTTCACTAATGCTTTGGTAATTATTTTTGCCATTCATTTACAAATATTTTATACTTAAATTTTAATTAATTAAAAACAATGAATTACAGGTTCTTCAGCAACACATCCGTATGCATACCGGAGAGCCAACTGATATTCCTCCGGAACATATTATGGCAAATGAGATAAAGGGACCGTCGCTGATGTCGCCATTCCAAAGAGGTCTAATGCCACCTCATTTTGTCGGTCACATCCCACCTCCCGCTGGACTATTTGTGCCACCATTTATGAACGGTTTGACCACAAGTTCTTCATTAAACATTCCTCTTTCATCTCCAATCACTTCACTTCCAACAATGAATCCAAATATGTCTCTGGATTTGCCGTCTGAATTAAAACCAGAAAAGACAGAAAACAAAGAGACACCCGATTGCAAACGTGAATCAGTTTCTCCATCAGAAAGCAATCGGTCGAGTCGTGCGACAACACCCGAACCCGATTCCCCTAACAGTGCTTCAAAACATAGTAAAAAAGCAAGAAGTAGATCTCCATCCCCTAAATCTGACGTTCCTTTGACTCCACAAGCAATCCCTCAACCAGTGATAGTGTCGACCCCGACTCCAAACCCAATTACTCCAACCAGTGCTGCAATTGTGTCATCGACTAAATCTAACGATTCTGTGAACTCTAGTTTCTCTACTTCATTGGCTGCTCTCGAAAATCACGTCAAAACAATTAACTCAACGATTCCACAGCCGATGCCATTCGGACCCTTCGGTCTCGGACTTTATAATTTAAGTCAATATCAACGCATAGAATCGGAACAAAACGCACGGTTAGCTGTGGCCGCAAATGTCGCCGATCTTTCAGTTCATAGAAATTCAGAGGACAAGTGTTCTCCAAATATACGCTCATTATCTCCGTCTTCATTAAACAGTAAAATAACAGATGAAATATCAGCAGATGAAAGATCAACACCCGATAGTTCATTGGGAACAATGGACAGATCGTCTCCACCAATGACACCAACCGGAGGAGCTCTTGATTTAACTCCCAAATCTACAACAAAGAATAATAACAATAATAATAATACCAACAACAACATCAACAACAACGTCAACAACAATAGTAATGGAAATAATAATAATAATATTAATAAAAATAATAATAATAATAATAATAATAGTAATAATTCAAATGACTCGACAATTTCAAAAGATAACAATCAAATGACTGCTAATATTGACTCCCAATTCTTCCCGCCCCCGTTCGCTGGCTTACAGTTCCCGACGGGTCGGCCCAACACAACCTGCAGGATATGTCTGAAAACATTTGCGTGTTATTCTGCACTTGAAATTCATTACAGAAGTCATACAAAAGAGCGGCCGTTTAAATGTGATTATTGTGATCGCGGTTTCTCTACTAAAGGCAATATGAAACAACATAGTCTGACACATAAAATCAGAGATTTACCTCTTGATTGCTATACTACTACCACTACTACTCCCAGCAAAATATCTACAATAATGAATGTCGGTTCTAATGAAAGTCAATCGATTACTAATAGTAGTACCACTGCGGCCATCGCTAACATGTCGACTAACTCTGATAATAGCAGTTGTGTTTCAAATAGTCCGACACCTAATGGAAACGGAACTACAAATAGTAGCGAAAATCGAGGCGAAGAGGGATCACCAGCTGAGGGCTCGTCTAAATTTAACCCAAAGCATGTCTGCAGAGTTTGCATTAAACCATTTTCTAGTGGTTCAGCTCTTCAAGTATATAATTTAATTATTTTCATATTTTCAAATATTTATATTTTATATTCATTATAATTTCAGATACATATGCGGACCCATACGGGCGATAAACCCTTTAAATGTAGTATTTGTGGCCGAGCTTTCACTACTAAAGGCAATCTAAAGGTAATAATTATGACATTTAGTTTAAAAAGTTTAAATTAACTATAATGTTGTTATTATAAACTACAGGTTCATATGGGAACTCATATGTGGAGCAATGGTTCCTCTCGACGAGGAAGAAGAATGTCTATTGATTTACCAAATTTGCATATTTCTCCCCCAAAACAACTAGAGTTTGGACCCAGAAGTGGGGTCGAGATGTTAATGGCTCACTTCAATTGATATACTTATTCAAGTTATTGTATTTCAAATTAAATTTGTATAACAATAACTAGCATTTAATTATTATTTACTATTTTTTAAAAAATAATAATAATAATTAATTATTTGTGTTTTATTGACGTAAAATGAAAACAAAATATTAGTTTGATTTTTTTGCTGTTAAAATCAGTAAAATTCAAACCAATAATTGCTCTAATATTGCTTTAACACACTGTACTGTATTTGATTATACAATTTTGTATGACATTATATAATATATGATACAACACTAGTCAGACATACAATTCTATACATATTTAATACAATCAAAAAATATGTTTAATATTTATTAACTTTTATTATAATAATAATAATAATAATCACTTTTATAATTTAATTACATTTTTATTATTGTGTAAAACAATTAAATGTTTTTATCGATTGTTAGAATGTGTTGGGAAACGACTTGTATTATAACTAAACAAAATAATTAGATAACTATACTTCTAGAGGACATATCGATTATTTGTGAGATGGGAACCAATTTGAACAATACTCTCGACTATTGTATATTTACAATACATAAATAGAGGTCACTCTTAAGTATTTTTCATAATACTGTATAAAAGCGAATCTTTTTGTTAGCAACTAATCAAATGATGGAGAGATAGCTATTTACCAATTATTATATGCACTAAGATATGAGTCAATTCAATGAACAGTTAGTTTATGCTCCGACATCTCTATTGTCAAGCACTGGAAGTTCGTCTATGTTTGCATGAGTTGATATGTAAGACTACATCCTACTCAACAAATAATTATAATAATAATATTACTGAACGACTTGAAAGTTTGTCTTTAAGTCATATCATAAATGAATTTATTTAACAAAACATATGTATTATACATATATTTATATTTTTATGCAATTTCTCACTGCAGTCATATTCAATACTTATGTCTATGACTTTATTGTATAATATAGAGACACAAACTGTGAGACAATTTCACAATCATTTCATACAATTAGTCTGAAAACATATCAATACATAAAAGCTGTCATTTTGTGTCTCATTTTTGTCTCATTTCAAACCAACCAAACAACTTATGTCTGATTTTGTTTGTTTGCTTGCAATTGACAGACAGCTATAACCGATTGCAACAAATCGATAGATTTGACAAAAACTTTAGGGTTTTCATACAATAACATTATATTCAATCATATAAGGGGTCGGATTCTCAATCTTGCATTTATTAATTTTATTTGAATATTATTAATTGTTTACAATAACATCAACTAAATGGTTATAATAAAATGAAATATATATATAAATCTTTACTTAAAATCTCTTATAAAATAATAAGATAGGAAAGGAGTAAATAATTTAAACTGTGGGTATATATCAAGTCATTTGAGAGTACAGTTAATCATAAGGTGATAATAATAGCTGTGATACTACAACATTACTGTCCTTCTCTATGACTTTTATATATATACACATACCTATGAAAGCATAAACATTTATATATATATATAGCTTATATATACACACAATATACTGTATAAATACACGTTTTACAAAATATATAGTAAACTTATTATGTAATAAATCTCTTTTTTCATGTAGTACTCATCTAATTAAAAGTCATGGTTATTGAGTATATTTATTAATAAAATTAATATTTCGATATACAGTATATATATATATATATATATATATATATATATATATATATGACAATTAAATTCATTTGAATAATATTCATAAAAATTGAAAACATTTAATCATTTTTTGCCGCAATCTCTTCTCACTTCTCTCAGTATTTATATATATAAATATAAAAGACATGTTTATTAAAATTATATATAAATAATGTAAAATGTTTTATCAACAAAAAACACAATTCATTCCAATCAATACTTATTTATTATTTGTTAAAAAAATTAATGTGAATATTAGCGATTAATTATTAAAAATACAAATTAAAAACAGAATATTAATAATATGTTAGAAAAATATTGATGATTCTCTTAATGCAAATTTTTAAATAAATATAATTTTCTAAATTTTAAAACATTTATCAATATGATATAATAATTATTATTTGCTTATTATCTAATTAGAATAATTTATAAATCATCAATTAATATTAAAATTTATATTAACATTAATTATTATTTTCTGTTACTATATTATTCATTATTAATATTATTATTATTAATGTAATTATTATTTAATAAGTTATGTTGCAATTTTAATACTGGGCATAAATTTGAATCATTTTCTAAGATTATCACAAAGATATTAATTTTGTGTTTTTTAGTGATAAATATTGTATAAAACTTTTTCTAGTAGTAGTATAAATTATATACAATAAACAACAAATATGTAAAATTTATATTATAATTAAAAACCATGGTTATTAAAGTTATGTATTTAATTATATATCAATTAAATTTAAACATTGCGGCAATGAAACGGAGTCTACATGTATAATATTTTTATAATAAAAATACGTAATTTTTAATATTTAATTGATATATAGTTAATTTTAGCACACCTTTAATTAATAATTATAAAAATATATTTGATTGTGATTATGATAAAATCAACAAAAAATATTATAACATATGTGCGAAACGGATCTCTAAAGTTTTAGTACTATATTTGTGTGTCTTTTGGATCTATTGATTGCTATCTTGTATACAATTATTATAATAATTAACAAATAAATACATTTTGTGACATCACATTTTCACACACACACAAACAGTTTACTATATTATTATTTAAAAATTATTATAATTAAATTATTTTTAGTTTTAATTCTTGTGATCTTTTAATTAATTAATTGTTTTTAACAAATAATTACATACAGTGTTCAATAAACATCAACCCCTTATACATTCAATTATTAGTATTATATAAATATTTAAAAAGTTGTGTTAATGACTGAAAATTGTAAAAATATAATAAATCAGTCAATGTTTTATTACCTATGACTTGAAATGAAACCATTTTTTGTTTAATAAAATTATTTAAAATATGAATGATTTTCATTTATTTATTTGATTAAATGTTTGAATTATTAAATTATATAATTAAATGGCATTTATTAAATTGATGATTTGAAATTAGCTATTTGAAATAAAATAAAACAAAATCTCATATAATCATCATATTTCATATAATATTTATAGTGGTAAATGTCATTTACAGTATAGTTTAAAAGTAAATAATGTTTCATACATACTGTATGAGATTTTCAAAAAAAAGATAAAATATTTATTAAACTTTAAATAAAATCAATAATTTGATAAAAGTTAGATATAATAAGTATTATCCGGAATCAGCTTATTATTGATACAAAATCAAATTATATATAAATATATAAAGTGATCATAAAAATCTTGGATCTATTTTAATGGTAATAATTTAATTGTATGACTAGTACATTATAGTATATAATTTATACATATAAATGACATATTTATGTAAATATACAACTATTACAACCAGTGCTAAAAGTTCCTGACCTTTGAATGAAACAGAGATTGATATCAATTTTTGAGATGCATTTCAATGCGAGTATAAATGTTTTGAAAGATTATATGAGATTATGATGACTGCGACCAATGCATTGGGAATTAATAGATGTAATGCAATGGGAATTTTGAATGATTTGCATACATTTGATATAATGTAATGTATATATACTTATAAACATAAATGATATCAAAGCACAGGCTATTTGATTGATTATTATAGCGATTGGAAAAGGGATTTGAGGGCAAAATAGGTCAGAAAAATGTATGTTTCATAACTATATGAGATTAATGCAAAATTTATGTAATCAGAGAGTGAGACACGTGCCGACATGATTTGCACATCCGGTATATATCAATACATTTATGAGTATGACTTGCCCTGTCGTGCCCTTACCCTCACTATCTGCTTAATATAACAGTGCAATCGGTGACAGTTATATCCAGTGTTCGCATCATTGGTCCTCATATTTCATTCAATTGACTACAACTATATTTTTCGCTCACTTTTATTGACGTAAAGCCTATAAAAACGGAGTTCCACTGCAATAGTAATAAACAATTCATAAGCGCAACGCTAATAATGATCAGAAAAGTCCATAACTTATTGATTACACTAACACTCACAGTGGACATAGGCTTAACATTTCATACATTTTACTATTTTTAGTAATTAGTTATTATTTTTTGTAGTGAAGCCCAACAACACATCAATTGGTTTTCATTTTCTAAGAACTATTGAAAATATAGACACAATTGTTGTCAGCTTTGCTCTCAAAATACTGTTATGTTTAGAGCTTTCACTCAAATAAGTCGATAGTATTTATGTCTCCAATATATTAATAAATTGACTCCAAATTCACTTCCTTTTTGGACGTCCGGACTTAATACCAGTCATATCACTAATTGCTAACTCTATTCAATCACAACTACTGTACATAACTTTATCCAACTATTTGCTTATAAATACATAGAGTTCATGTTTAGCAGTATATTACTTAATAAAATAGTGACAAAACAGTTAAAACTGATTTACTAAAATTGTTTCACTAAAAATGCATCGAAAAATAGATGTTATTTAATGAAAATTTTATATCTGGATTTTCTGACAAAATATTACAAATTAATTAAATTTTATGCCAATATAAAGTATATTGTGATATAATATAAAATTTTTATAATTTAGCATGATCATACTTTTTATTTTTTTTCTTTTAAGAAACTATTTGTGAATTTTTATTATTAAACTTATAAATTATAATATTAAATTATAAGTTATAATATTAAATTATAGGTCAATTTATTAACACTTTTATTGAAAAACCAGTGACAATACAATTATTGTCACAATAGTTTTGTCTTTAATTAACTTTGATACTAAAAAGTACAAATATACTATACTATACAAGTAATTTTATATTTATTTATTAAATAAATTTTAATTACGGTAATGTTTTATTGTTAAAATTCATATAAAAATGGTTATTATTATTATTATTATATTAAAAATATCACATTTTTAGATATCAAAGATTACAGTAAATTTAATTTATAACTATAGTATATATAATAATATTTTAATAAAATTTTAAAACTGAGAATCGGTAGAAAACTAAGAGTTGTTATCAATAAAAGTGGACAATCTATAGGAGCCATCCTCTTGTTTGCAATATTGAAATCGTGAGCACCCGACTGGTAGGACATATTTATGAATAGTAATGAGATGTCGGGTCAGGTTATTGCCGCGACTGAAACTCTTATCGCATTCATTGCAAACATATTGACATTTGAAAGCCAAATGCGTCTCTTTATGATGTTTTGAATACGTGTGGACACAACGGGACTCAAAGTTACAGATCGAGCACTTGAACGGCGGTTCCTCGTTATGGGTGTCAATGTGTCGTCTCAGGTCTGATCGCGACTTAAACCGAGAATCACAGAACTGACAGGAAAATGGTCTTTCATTGTTGTGTCGATAAGTCATGTGATGTTTGAGTGCCGACGGAGAACTAGTGGTCATTTGACAGACATTACACTTATATTTGTTATTATGACATCTAAAGTGCTCTCGAAGTAATGATTGAGTGCCGAAGATTCTATCACATTGTGGACAAATGTATTTGCTTTTATCTTCACTCTTGTTGGTCACAATTGTATTTATGGTCGTAACTGATTGTAGTGCCGACGGGTCGGCTAAATCAATAAGCATTAACTCATTTTCTGAATTCAAATTTTGTATTAATAAAGACGATGTCGTCTGACTGTTGATTCCTACAGTTGACGACTCTTCAGTTTGCGGCACTTGAATGGTCAGTGTTGTCATCGACTGGTCATCAGTTACTTTAGACACGTGTAATGTTAGAGAATCATTCTTATTGTTGCCATTATTATCGGTTTGCCGATAAAGATGGTCAACAAACTTGGTTTTATTGCAATACATGGCTCCACAAGAGGGACAGGCAATCAGTTTTTCTTGAGTGTGGGTTCTTAAGTGTTCTCTTAGATGAGACCTCGACTTCACAGCACTATCACAGTTAATCCAAAGACATTTAGCATATTTGGTGCGCTTTAACTCGTCCTTAGATAGCGAAGGGATCTGTACGTCATCGACGGCATGAGTGTCCACATGTCTATAGAAGGACTCGCTATCTATGAATTCAGTGAAACACTGATCCCAACCGCAGACAAACATATTCGGCAGTTCTGGTAATGAATTCCTCGCCGAAGAGTCCATTTGACACGATATTGACTCTCCTGTCGACAGATATATCAAACAAATTATCCATAAATTCATTCAATTGTTTAGTTTTAATACAAACCTAATGTCTTCATTATCTGAAGACCATAACTCATGAGTTTCTGATGAAATCCATGATATGACACGTGAAGACAAAACTGTGAATAGTTGTCGAAGTGGTTCTCTTCACAACCAATCCATTGACAACTTAATGATTGATTGTCACAATTAGTTTGATCCTCTTTAGAGTGATTTTGATGCAAATGTTGCAAATATATGGTTAAATCATTGAATACTTTATGACAATCACTCCATTCACAGAACAGTTCCAATTGATCCTCATTTGGTTGTCGACATCGCTTACGACAGACAACACCTGACATGATATAAGTGTTGATAAACTCTTTGATATAACAAGAAGTGTCTGTATATTGTCTGCAATGTTGTTATCACTCACTCCTTCACCGTCTCATAGATTTCGCTGACATTCAAAACAATCAATAATTTAATACAAAGTTATGAATGAATTAATGAGCGCTTAATTCAATTGATTTATAATAAATTTATTATTAAATAAAATAAAATATAAAGAAATACATTATTAAAGTAAACATATTATAGAAATTAATGCATTTGTGAGAACCGGTAGTTAATTGTTGCCATAGAACCAGTGGAACCAACCGGGACTCGCACTGGGATTCGCTTCGGTTTCTACCCTACCCTTCACCTCATCAATTGGTGACACACTTTGCGAGAACACACGGATCAAGTATTCCTGATTTGTTCGCTCATAAAAGCCTTCAGAATCGTTACATTTGTGATCAATTGTCGAGTTGTTCGCACAAATGAATCTTTTCTGATCAAAAACTAAGTCATTATCGCATAAGAAAGTGATTCTTTGATACAGAAGTTCATCAGATTTATAGAATGGATAACACAAGTGAAAGACTCGACAGTCTTTTGACACATCGGCGTACTGTCCAAAGGATCGGCCGTAACAACTGAATGATGTGCTAACACTTTCTTCTTTAACATCCAAACCATTGTATTCAGAAGTTATTAACTCATCAAATGGTGTGGTAATCGAGTCAGACTCATCTTCATTGTCATTGATATCTTTTGGATCTATTTCTTCAAACACTACGGTAACCGTTTGGTCTTCATTTGGTTCTTCATTTGGTTCTTCATAATGCGATTCTGTCGATAAGATTGTCTCTTCCATTGATTCTTCTCCCGACTTCTCGTCAACTGTATTATCACCGACTGGTTCAGCTTCTTCTGCTCTGATACTTATGGTTTGAATACCAATTAATGCTATGACTGGTAATTAATTAGTTTAAGATTAAATAAAATATTAATTAAAAAATATATCAATTACTTACAAACGAAATAGTAATAAAAATTCATTTTTATAAAATATATTAATAATATATTAATAATATATTAATAAAATATTAATAAACTAAAGACTAGTATATGAATTACAATAAAATTAAAAATGTTTTAAAATAATTAAAATAACACAAAACGAAGCGAAACCACAACTAAATGATTTACTCAAATAATCGGTCTATTTATACAAAATATTTTTAAAAATATTTTTTAAAATATTTTTATTTTAATTCTAATGTTTGTTTTAGAGTCAATTTTTGTATAATTTTATAAAAACTTGTGAATTGATATTAAAGTTTATAATAAATAAAGAAAACTTTGAAAGTTTATAATAATATTTACTCAAATTAAAAGTTATTATTTTTTATTTGATATTTTTGTATTATCAACATTTATTTTAAGCATTAATTTACATTAAATAATTAAAGTTTAATAAATATAAATGAATCATATTAAATAAAAACTTAGTATATAGTACTGTACTATATATAAAATAATCTAAAGCAAATTATCAACTATTATTTTAATTTTTAAACAAAAATGTGTTATAAAAAATCAACTTTATTTGTACATTTATAATTTTTAATATAATGAACAATTTTATTTATGATATATAGATTTCATACAACTTGATTATATTCAGTGTTTATAAAGTAAATATTAGGTAAGATTAGGTTAGTATATAATATATAAATCTTTTAATAATATTTTTCAACTATGCGTTACTTTAATTTTGTACTTTTATAATAAAACTAAAATTGTTTTGTTTTTTATAAAATAAATTCTTTTATTTTGTAATTATTTAGTAATAAACTATTATTAGTATTTTGACTTTGAAACTGAAACATGTTTATTACAATATAATTCTGTATTTACTGCTATAATATATTATTATATAATAGATTCTGTATTTTATAATTGATTGATTACTATTTATTATTTATTGCGCATACATTACAAAAATACATGATTTTTAATTTGTTTTAAATAAAGTAATTAAATTATATACTTCACATACATTTAAAAACTATAAATTTTTAAAATTCTATAGTACAGATATATCTAAATTTACTATAATCAAACTTTTTTAATTAATTATTTTTGGAATAATAACTAAATATAAATATTTTTAAAGATTTAATGCAATATAAATGGAAAATTTCGATAAACATTAACTCTAACGGCAAACATTGTGTTCTTAGATACTTAGATATGGTATATAAAGTACTGTATATATATATATATATATTATAAATTACTAATATGATAATCTACTGTAACTTAATTAACACAATTAACTAGTTTATAGTAGTAATTATTTTATTATATGTATATTAATTACTTGTAAAACAAACTTATAAAATGAAAATTATATTTACTTTACAATAGAAATGATGAGATTACATATTTTCTTTATGAATAAGTATTGGAATATAAAAAAGACAATAATTAGAGACCAATTTTTATTTGATAACAAAATTACATTTTATAGATAGTATTAAATTGAAAGGAAAAATAAGTACATATTGTCGTGCAATACAGTAAATGTATAATAAAATTTTATAAATATAGTAATAAACCGTAAAATTGATATTACATTTATATGTCTATTTGAGTTATTCAATCCAATAATGATTGTGACTTTTTTCAAAGTATTTATACAAAAATACAGTATATCTAAAATAATTGTTTTATACGGTTTTATGAAATTTAATGATCACAATATAATAATAATTATTATTATACACATTTATGATCTTAACAAATATGATTACAATCAGCTTTTGATTTTTGTTTGTTATTTAATAAAACAATTGTATTTTCAAAGTATAAAACTCTTTAAAAATAATTTATATTTGTGTCGACATGTGTTTAGTAGACATTAAAGCCATAAAATTAATTACAATTATAATTAAAGAAATGATGACACATAAGAATAATATTATATATTTAGCAATAATTGTTGACTACTTATTAATATTAAAAAACTAATTACTAATACAAGTAGTGATTAATTGTCATTTGCGATCAGCACAGAGACCATCCTTACAGGCCTGACATAAGTCACTGTTATGAGGGGTTCGCGGTTTACCAGATCGGCGGGTCTTTTCAATGGGCGGGTGATAAAAGCCATAAAATAACTGACCCACTTTGTTGTACAAATTAGTTAACACCTGTATATGTATATCATTAACAGCTTATAGTTTATGAATAATTGAGTAAAATATATATACTATACTTTGCAGACTTCTTCGGGATACCACATCGCCTGTTCATAGCTATCATTCTTACATCGATCACATTGTTGTCCATATAGTTTAAAAGCCACGAATCCATTGGAATATATCGGTGACAATAAATCAAACCAAAATACTACCCGTCCTTTCATTGATGTCCATCCGTGACCACATTTCTTATAAAAATTTTATTCAAATAAATCGTTTATAAAATTTTCTCTGGATCATTTTATTGTTTTAATTATCTATGGTTTAATTCAGTATATCTTTAAAAATATATTTATAATTAACTCGTTATCATTATAAATCTATGAATGAATTTTTATCTGCTATTATGATAGATAAAAAATATACAATATATAAGTTTTATATACGATATATTGTAAAAGCATATACAGTATAACGAATTAATAAAAGTTTACAGAAATACACTGAAGAAAAACATAAAAATATCTAATTTTTATATATCTTATGATAAATCTGTAGATAAATTTGTTATAAATTTAATTAATAAACTATATATTATCTAAAGTTAATCTAAACATAATTTAGAAAAATAAATCCAATTCAATTGCAATGATTAATAAATACTAATTAAAAAAAAATAAAATGATATGAAACTTACATCACAACAAAATCTAACTTTTGCTGAGTCTATGAAAGTATGTACTGAACTGTTGGCTATGGGTTTGTTTTCAACGGGTTGAAGGATCCACATCTGTTGGTAGTAATTGGAGAATAACCGGTGAAACTCCGATAGCCATACCTGTTCCATACCACTGAATAGTATACATATAATCAGTAATCAAATTCATTATAACATTAGTATTTAAACTATAAAAATCTATAATTCAATAGTATTTAATTAGCAAACTCACTACGATTGACTCCATGAGGTTGGCTTAATAATTACAGCTGAACCATAATTTAGTGAAGACATTGACATAGGACTGCCAATAGATACTGGAGATAATGGTGCTGTCGGTGATCCTGTTAATGAACATTGACTCGATGACAATGGTGACAGTGGTGACAGTGGTGACAATTGTGATAATAGTGAACATGGAGATGCAGGTAAACTTGTTGTCCATAAAGTCATTGATGGGCTGCACATGTGTGATGGCAGACAAGTTATGGGAGCGTTAAGAACAACCATCTCTTGAAGTAATTTAATTTAACTTAGTTTTGAAAATATGTTTTTTAATTCAATAACAATCAAAAATTCTTTATTCAAAATAATATATCAGTTAATAGTATTTGTGTTGATTCTCAGCAAAAACTTGTTGAATGTTGATATTAAAACTTTATATTAAAAAATAAAAAATATAAATGTATGTATTATTTTAAAATTTAAATATACAATATTTTGATTATAAGACAATTTTTAAAAAATAAACGTTAAAAGCACTAAACAAATATGATGACCAACTAAACAGTCGACGCTTTATTTAAGAGTATCTTTTATGTGGTACTAAAACAATAGTTTTTGCTTATTATAAATACCCCTCATGTGGTGATCCCCATCAATAAAATAACATATATTGTATTATTATTATTATTATATATAATGATTTGCTAACATGAATGACACCGATTAGATAAGCAACTATAGTAATGTACTGCCGCTAATAGAAATAAAAAAAATTAAAAATTGTCTATAATGAAATTCAATATATATAAAACTGATACATACATACATACTAATAATATGAATATATTGGAGAAATTAGTAAATTTTGTAACAAACTGTTACAAATGGATTACTAAATTAAAAAATAATTGGCAGATATTTGAATGTCATTTTCATTATATATGATAAAATAGATTTATTCAATAAATTAGTTCATATAATAGCTGAATATTATAGTAACAGTTGGTATTGTGTAATAAAATCTAATTTGATGTTTTGGTAATACTGTATTATTGTTTAATATTTATTAATAAATATTTTGTTAAAAAAATTTTTTTATCGAGTCATTCAATAATAGGTAAAAAAAGTAAGTCAAATGATTGGGCATTTGTTACTAAAGGAAAAGCATTGATTGCATTCAATTCAATTGTTATTCACATTATAACAACTAATTTTTTAAAACTTATTTTATAATACATTATTATTTTCTAAAATATAAAAAGTGAAATGAAATTAATATATTTTTTAAATAATATAAATGTAAGTAATTAATTTAATAAGTTATTGCCAATAAATATAATTTTAAAAAACTTAAAAATGCATTTCATTATTACATATACACATTTGAATTAATTATTTTAAAAATTGTACTTTCTATTATATAATACTATAAATAATAATACTACGAAATAATAATACTACGAAATAATAATACATTTAGGCTTAATAAATGTAAATTCTATATTTATTAACATATTTTTCTTAAAATAAATTAATATGAAATTAATATACAGTACTCTAGTATGAAAATACTGTATACTTGATATTGTACTGGAATTGAAATAAATAACCTTATAATTATTAAATTTAAAATATCAACATAAAATGTGTGCATACTATGTATGTATTATTTAAATAAATATTTAATGTGTATAATATTTGATAAAGTATTGGGAAATTTATAAAACATATGAAAACAATTATTTGTTACTAAATATAAAATCATTGACAAAATTGCTAAAAAATTATTATTTTGTAATAACTTCTCTCTTGAATGGAATAAAAATATTTTATTTGTACCAATAAATTGATAAAATAATATTCAATATATGAATTACTGGTATGATAGCACTCAGGGAGGTATGATATCTTGAAAACAATATTCAAATAATTATAAAATAGAATTAAATATAATAAGTAGCAAGGTGCTATAATACATTAGTTTTTAATATTTTACTAAGAGTTTCTCAACAATTATTTAGTATTATTTAAAAAGTTAATGCATTTATCAGATTATTTTTAAACTATAGATATAATAGTAAATTTTTACGATTACAAAATTTGAAAACTTTTGATTTTTTATATATATCATACATCCATGGGTTATAAAAATTACTAATTTACTAAATTTTATTTAAAATATAATTTTAAAAAATATACTTAATGTTAAGTTAACATATTAAAATGATAAATTAAAAACTCTTTATTCTTTAATATAGTTTTATTTTAAAAATTAATTAAATATATTATTAAATAAATAAACAGCACATACACATACTCTCTCTCTCTCTCTCTCTCTCTCTCTCTCTCTCTCTCTCTCTCTCTCTCTCTCTCTCTCTCTTAAAATATGCTAATATAATGAGTATACAGTATGTCTCTACAGTATAATAGTTAGATTGTGGGTAAATGTGTCCTTTTTAAAAAATTATATATCAAAATAACTTTATTAATGTATTAGTTGTGTCTCAATCTTTCACAAAAGATTATCTGCAAATAAATTATTGAATAAATTGTAATTTTTAAAGTAAAACTTTATATTAATTTATTACTTAATTTAAGATATTATTATAAATAGTAAATGTATTAATTATAAAATTTAATATTTGTGTACATTTTTTGTTTTATAAATTTAGATTAGATAAAAAATCAATATATCATAGATAAATATATATAATATAATATACATTTAGATAACTTAATTAATCAATAGATTTTCAATTAACTTTAAGGCAAAGTTTTTGTATTATATGACATCACTATTCATATAAAGTAATTAGACTGACCACCCATACAGGTGCCGCCTGTATTATACAGGAATCAAGGGTCTAATACAGGTGACAGGAAAGGGCTAACCTGTATAATAAAATATACAGTTTTAAAATATGTTAAACTAATTGATTAATAAAAGTATAAAATAACTATGAATTAAGTTTTGTTAGTAAAAAATTGCTTGTATTTTTAATATACAGTTTAAATATTTCAAATATTTTTTTAAATATAAAAAATTTATAAATATTTCTAAAATAGTTCATGTTCAATATAAAATAATTTGAGTAATATAACGAATATATTGTTATTTAAGTACAGGTTAACATACAGGAATATAATATTTAATATACAGGAAAATACAGGTGAAAATAATAATTTTATACTATTATACAGGTTTACTAATAAATTGGGTGGTCAGTCTAAAAGTAATGTCTTTTAAAAACCTGTTTTATGTTTGAAAACTTTCATTCAAATAGCATAACTTGTATCACACATTTGTCACTATATTATATAACAATTTTATAATCAATTGGTATGATTTATCTTAGATTCAAAATGGTCTTAAAATAAGTTTTTAGTAGTAATTAAAACAAAATTTAGTAAATATGTTAAACATGTGATGTGTTGTAGACATGTGTCAACTGAATGTCTTATTGACTATAAGTCTATTAATATAATAGTCTAACTGTTTAATCAAATATATATTTAATTAATTATTTATAACTTATAGTCAATAAATTTTATGATTGCTATTAGATTTTATTCAATAAAATTTCAATGAATTGTTAAATAATAAATTGGGAAACATTTTATTAGATAAAATGAAGTTATATATGAAAATAATTATTAATTAAAAAGTTTGTCATCACTTATTGTGAACAATTGGATCAATCATATGGTATAATGTTTAAAGTGGATGAGTTTGTATTGGGAGGACTGAGTGCTTGCTGTGCGGGTGTCATAACAAACCCATTAGAAGTGGTGAAGACACGGATCCAATTGCAAGGAGAGCTCAAAAGTCGGGGACATTATGTGGTTCACTATCGCAATGTTTTTCACGCCTTTTACGCGATTGCAAGCAATGAATCAGTACTGGCCTTACAAAAGGGTTTAGTGCCGGCACTTTGGTATCAGTTTTTTATGAATGGCATCCGATTCGGTGCCTACCAGTGCTTCGACAACTTTGGACTTACCAGGAATGCCAACGGAGACGTCATATTTCACAAAAGTGTTGTGTTTGGCGCCGCTTCGGGAGCCGTCGGGTCTTTTATTGGAAGTCCTTTTTATTTGGTATATATTTTATTATTTTTTAGTCGATTTTTCACTCAATTGCTAATAACAACTGAATTTAATTTTTTATATTTGCAATTATTTAATAATATTTATGAAATTTATTATAATTATAATTTACTTTAGAATTATAACAAAAAACTTATAAAAACTATTTTATTTTAACACAAGTGTTGAATGAAAAGATGAATTAAATTTAAGTATTTCAAGACTTTGAATACCAAAAGAGATGACACACTAATTGTGTGAATGATATGATAACCAAATATATAATTAGGCCGTTATTTGCTTGTATTGTATATCGAGAGTGACATTAATAACAAATGGGAGTATTTTTCATATTGATATTAGTTATAGATTTATTGAATATCTATTTAATAACTCACTTATAATTTACTACTGATTCACTCACTGACGACAATTACTGTATATTGTTTTATTAATTTATTTAATCAGTTATATTGTTTGATAAAACATTTAAAAGATGAAATACCAATGATTAGCATTTAATTATTTAGTATTGTCTCCAATAATACTACTCTAAATCTATCACTTCATTAGACAAAAAGTACTTATAATTACTAATTGATTGCTAATAAGGTAACAAAATTTTAGGTATAATGTATATAATATGATATATTAGTTTAATATAACATTAAATTTATATGGGAATTAAAGTTGATTTAGAATTTAAAATATTTTTTTAATTAATTTTATTTATAAAATCTAGTAAAAAGTTATTAAATGCTTATAATTATTATTATTTGTGTGTTATTTATACTATATTTTTAATGCTTAAGTTTATTGTATAACAAATACATTAAATATTATAATATCTTTTAAAGTTTATATAGTTTAAAGTAATTATTTTTGTTTAATATATAATATACATACTGTATACTAAAATTATCTAATCACTGCTTTTAACACATAATATACTGTATATAATTTATATATATTATACATACTATATTATCATATTGAAATAAAGTATATAATGATATTTCATATGTATATATTATATATATGAATCATAGTATTAATTGATTAAATAAATTTTATCAATTAATGTATTTAAAAGTTATTAATTTGTAATTTGTCGTAAATTACAACTAAAATAACAATTAAAAATTATCGTTATTAAGCTAAGCAAAAGGTTAAGTTATTCGTGTGTGTGTGTGTGTGTATGTGTGTATGTATGTATGTATGTGTGTGTGTGTGTGTATGTGTGTGTGTGTATGTGTGTGTGTGTATGTGTGTGTGTGTATGTGTGTGTGTGTGTGTGTGTGTGTGTGTGTGTGTGTGTGTATGTATGTATGTGTGTGTGTGTGTGTATGTGTGTGTGTGTGTATGTGTGTGTGTGTATGTGTGTGTGTGTATGTGTGTGTGTGTGTGTGTGTGTATGTGTGTATGTATGTATGTATGTGTGTGTGTATGTGTGTGTATGTGTGTGTGTGTGTGAAAATACCTCTATTGAAACCTTTTTGTCAATTTTTGTATCTTTGAATTCAATTTATTTGAATACATAAAAAGTTAAATTTTTTCAAGAAATAAATCATAAAATTTAACGAAAAAATCATTGAATTGAACAGTCATTTGACAGGTATTGTTGGGATAGTTAATACATGAATACATTTTTATAAAAAGCACCGATTTTTGCGTGGATTACTGTTCACTAAATAGTTAAAGCTATGAACAGTTATAAGTCATGAACAGAACCTCAATAAGTGAAACCATAATATGCTTTACTATTGATATATTGATATATAGGTGAAGACCCATTTGCAGAGCCGATCCTCAGCACATATAGCTGTGGGTCATCAACATTCACATTCAACAATGACTGGCGCTTTGACCTCCATCTACAAGAACTACGGTATTATAGGTTTGTGGAGGGGTTGCGCCGCCTCCATGACTCGCGTCACTATTGGTGGGGCCATTCAATTGTCAACATTTGCTTCAGTTAAAACATTTATTGATAAGTCAAAGGTTAGTCTAATTTTGATTTAATAGATATTCAAAATAAAAATCAATAAATTATTTATCACTCATTTAGATTATACCGACTGATAGTTTTCTTAACTCATTGGCGGCTGCAATGGTCGGTGGTTTGGCCGTTACATTACTGATGACTCCTTTTGATGTCATATCGACCCGACTTTATAATCAACCGGTCGATGAAAAGACTGGTAAAGGACTGAAATACTCGGGAATATTTAACTGTATGCACAAGATTGCCACCACTGAAGGCATTTTAGGCTTTTATAAGGGATGGACGGCCTCTTTGCTTAGGTTAGGTCCACATACTGTCCTCAGTCTTCTGTTTTGGACTGAAATTAGGAAGAAATATATGTCTTTTAAACAAAAGTTTGAGCCGAAGTCATCTCAAATCAATACAATAAGTCGCACAACGACTACGTAATTGAAATATTAATTATTAATTTTTGGAAATTTTTAGGAAATTTATATAACAATAATAAATAAAGTAAATGATGATAATAATGTATTATTTATGTAAATTACTTATACAGTAAATATAATTTTATTTTTAATTAATTTTTGGTTAATTTGATCCATTTTTAAGTTTGTTTATAATTTAACTATAATAACAAAATGTTTTTTAAATATAGTAACATGAAATTATTGGTGATTTAGAGAATAAAATTATTATTTTTAAAACAATACGGTTTTATATATTTATTATTATTTTGAAATTCCAATTAAACTGAAATGATTACCAGTAAGACAAATACTATTTGTTTGTTCACATTTACAGTTAATAAATAAATTTTACTAATTGTTATTAACTATTAACATATGACAAAATTATGGCTTAAATATAATAATGATATTTGAAAACATTTACATTATCATAATATTTAATAATATTAAATTAAAAAATGATGCTAAAGAATAATAATTTATAATATAGTAAAACAATGTCATGAAAAGTAACGCTGATTTTCTTTGGCTCTTCAAATGGTTTTTTTAATAAATTATATTTAAATATAATCATTTGATTTATGATATATTTTTAAATAATATTAGTTATAATAATTATTAGTAAACTTTTAATATTAAGAGTATTTTTATGATATATATTTAGTAATCAATTGGTATCATTCGGCTTCTGGTCGACACCGATGGACATACGCTGATATAGATATGTCATCCGAGTGACGGACACATCGGGTACCAGTAGGACACTGACACCTATAATGAGAAATTAAAAAATTATTAATTAATTTAAATGAAAAATAATTTATTTTTGATTTGTCTCTGAAATTCTTCAATATATTTGATAAAATACAAGAATTTATAACATTTTAAATGTTGATAATTATATTGTAATTTCTACTATAATCTGTATCTTCATTAATGTCATCTTCCAATATATTTATTTACTGATAGCGTATTGTTAATAACGCTATGATTGTTAATATTAATATTTATATAATAGTATTTATCTATTAGAGTTCGCTAGTCTTTCAAATATAATTAAAAACAAATATATTTTATCTCTAATGAGTGGTTAATTGAATACTATTGACGAACTGAGTTAAAACACTATTAAATTTATTTAGAGACTCGACTTTTGGACAAACATTTAACATCAGTTATAAGTTGACGTATTCATTGAAGTCATTATTTATAGTTTTGATAGTAATAATTAAACATATATTTTGTAGGATTAGAGTTGATATTAAAAGTGATAATTTCAGTCATACGAGTATCTCATGTCAAACAACAATCCAAGAGATTCCCTGCTTTCAGTGCCAACACATCTTACTGTAAACTCTGGCAAATCATACTTTTCATTCAATTAAATACTCTCTCTCTCTCTCTCTCACTCACTCACTCACTCACTCACTCACTCACTCACTCACTCACTCACTCACTCACTCACTCGTTCAATGTTTAGCTCATTTAATAATTTTCTTATTAATATATTTAACTTATATAGCAATAAATTTATATAATATATACGTTATTAATTATATCAATAGTATGCAATATATAATTTTATCAATTTAGAGAATATTCTCAATTTATTATTAAATGTTTTTTTTAATTAGTTTTAATATATACTTTTCAATTACTTAAAATAAGATAACTCTATTATAATAAAAAAATATATAATTTATATTATATTAAGTGTATTGAATTATCTTATGATTAGATAAAAATTGATATTAAAATAAATTAAAAATAATTTAATAACAATAATTTATAAATTTATGTATTCTTAATATATTCAAATAAAATATTTAGTATTATTATAAAATTATATATATACTGTATATAATTCAATAATAATATTAAATATTTTATATTACTAAACATTTTATTTGAATACCTAACTTCCCTATAATTAAATGTTTAATGATTTGTTAAACAAATTTATATAAACAAATCAATGAGTCTATTGGCATAGATTTATCAGAAATTTTATCATTTATTTAAATAACCATGTGACATTTCATTTATACTAAGATATTAGATAAATTCATAAATTATTAACATTTTTGAATATAGCATTTCATTATACCAACAAAATAAATATTGATAATATATTTTTAATTGATAAATATAATTTATATCATATAAATACTTTACTAACTTTTAATAACAATACCTAGAAATTTAAGTTCATTTAAGAGTAAAAATTATTTGAAATATTTGCAATTGGATTAACAAAAATTGGATAAATCACAAGTGAATTACTGATTGCATAATGAGGTCAAACACAAACATTTATCAATTAAATTGTAATCATTTATAGTTTAAGTCATAAGAAGTCGCATAACTTTGCGATAAAAAATGATAGAATAAGAGAGATATGATATTTGGTTTGTTAAGCATATGGGATGGGATGGGATAGTATGGTATAGTATGGGATAGTATGGGATAGTATGGGATGGTCTCAAATAAAATGATTTGATATTATTGTGTGAATCAACACTTACGGAGAGGCGACGAAATAGTTGACAGTTCTGATGAACGGCGCGTATACTTCCCAACCACACGGAGTACTGCGGGAACAGTTCTGACTGACTGTACTTCGCTGTTCATACAAGTCATACAACAAACAAATATCAATTAATATTTTATCAATAATTATATTAAAGAACCAAAAATATGCCAACACATGAGGTATGGCCTAAATAACTACTGTATAAGTCATCGAAAAAAATAAAATAATATCAAATTAGTATTTATTGTTTTGTCTTAATCTAAATCAATAGTAAACTATAACAAATTAAGACAATTGTCAAATATTACAAAACCCACACATTTTACGTCCCTTTGGGTATTAATTAAATAATAATTAATTAAATCCTAATAAATGACATACAAATAATTTAATGATTTAATTTATAAAATAATGTGCTTTACTATTGGAGTTATAAAACGGGTGAAATTTAATGTAATTTAACTAAATCTTAAAATAAAAATATCATTTTAAACTAAAAAACAAATATTAAATACAATATTAATAATCTTATACTTTGTACTTCTCGTGTGGTATTTAATCATTATAATAGCTATAATATAATTTATACGGGTATAATATTTTTAAAATATACAATTATAAGTATTATTTTTTTTAAAAAAAAACTACAAAAAATACTCACTTTTAAATATAAAGCAGATGACAATTGAAAAACAAATATTATTAAAATAATTGATGCAAACATTACGATTTTTGTATTGATCACCATATTTATGGGCATTATATATATTGTGTATATATTAATATATTTATATATATATATTATTTGATTATTTAAATAATTATTTGATAAATTTTAATAACAATAAAATTAGTTAAACTTGTTATCAGTTGAGAAGTTATTATCAGTTATATGAATGAAGTATGTATTGAATGAAATACTGTAAAAGCAGTGAACATATTGAACACAATAATGACAGACTTAGAGCACGACTTTTCACTTATATATGCAATAGTTATGTGAAAAGTGTCAGTACTTGTGAGTGAATGAGAAAACTTTGTGATAAACTCCGAGCCCTAAGAAACGTCACGTTCCGCCCCAGTCTTGGCTGTTGAGAGACAGTCAACACTGAAGACGATATGCAGGTGTGTGTGTGTGTGTGTGTGTGGGTAACCATAGAGATTAGCGGTCCGACCGATAGGGCGGTTACGTAACCACACCATACCATACCATATGAGTGCCATAACAACACAACTAATATTCATTCACTCTCTTCTTCATCACTTTAATTCAAATATCAATATATGATATACTCTATGCCTTTCTTCTATCGTCTAATTTATCATTAATTATTATTAAGAAATAACACTGTTTTCAAAATAAATAATTATAAAAAACATAAATAAATAACATGTTTTCATAATTTAAAAAATTACTTTTTTATAAGTTTTTTTTCTAAAAAAAGTTATCATAATTATGATATTTCAATATAAAAACAAGTAATATTTATATATTATTACACTGATTAAGATATTTGATTACAAATAAAAATAGAAGTTTGTTTCAAAGCGATCTAACTAATCATAAAACTCATTAATTTAGTTTTATATATGATATCAAATAATATGATTATTATTTTGATTAAAATTATAGCAAATTGAATATTGATTGCATGTGTAGGTGTGATTTACTTAATTTAATTATAATCTACAATACATTACATGAAAAGCTTAATTTGATAAACATTTTAGTCTTATACTGTATTATTAATTATAGGACAAATTAATAATTTTGTTATCTTATGCTCATAACTAACAGTTTTTATGTATGAGATAAAAAAAACTATCACTTGAAATGATGGCCGGAAATGAAACTTTTTTGATAATTTTTAAAAACTATCTATAATAATGAGATATTGATTTGTGTTTACTTCTGCTTATTTATAAATAACAAATAAACTGATTTATTTATTATCAAAATTTAATATTTTATAAATAAGTTTAAATAATCAATATTAATAATAGGGTCATATTAGTACACTTTGATTGCATTTTAAAAATTAGTGTTTATTGATTTTTAAAGAATTTTATTTAATAAAACTAAATTAATATTAATTATGATGTTTTATATTGTATATTATAAAGAGCAATTAAATATTAAACAAAAATATAATAATAATACATTAACAATGGTAAAATTGCACAATATGATATATTATATTATATTTATTTAATATAAAAGCTAAATGACATCATTATTTAGATCAAAGAAAAACTTTTGTTAAACTTTTATGAAATACAGAAAAATCACTAAAAATAGGATTTTATTTTGGGTTAAATTTTTTTGTTTTCTCATTGCTGTATAAACTGATGCTTTCAATCATCGTATGCTTTGTTTCAAACAGTTTTGTAATCCAAGAAAATATGAATAAAAAACAATAAAAAAACGTTTAAACGTCTAAACAGTT